TCTTTAAAAATATAACTCTATAGAACTTTGGAGAGGTCCTTGACTATAGATTTCCCCAATGCAACAAAGTTTTTGATATCTTGCTATTACCATGGTAATATTAGGAAATACCAAATATTAGGAAAATCTGGATTTGTGAAGGAAAGACATCTTTTGGATGTCTTCCATATTTTTCAAATTTTAAGTGTCCTTGAAAATATGCTCTAATTCTTCATGTATCCCATGACACTTGAACATGTAGGAATTCTTCTTTTTGAAAATTTTAAAAAGAATTTTTTTGTCTACAGAAAGCTGGAATATTTTCAGGAAAAATTGTGACATATATGTCGTTAGGTACTGTCAAATCAAGTACGACTCAGAGCAACCTTTGGAACAAAAGATCTAAACCTTGTTCCATCCGGTGCCATCCTCACACTTCCTGACACACCAAAGCCCACTGCAGCAGTCACCGTGTCAGTCCACCTGGTTGAGGGTCTTCCTCTCCTTCTCTGACCCTCCACCCTTCCCAGCATCATGTCCTGCTCCAAGGAATAGACCCTTTTAGCAACATGCTCAAAATATGTGAGGCAATCCTCAATGTCTTGGCTCCAAAGAGCACTCTGACTGCACCCTCTCCAACACACATCTGTTCATTCTTTTGTCCGTCCATGGGATGCTCAGTGCTCTTCCAACACCACACCTCCAAGGTGTCAATAGCTTCTACTTATTTCAATGCTTTTGAATATTTTCTAAAAAAATGTTGTAAATGTTGTTATTGTTATTAGATGCCATCAAGTGTGACCCATAGTGACCCTATGAACAACATATCTGAGCCCTGTCCTGTCCTGTGCCATCCTCACACTTCCTGACACATTAGAGCCCATTGTGGCAGTCACTGTGTCAACCCACCTGGTCAAGGGTCCTACTGTCCTTTGCTGGCTCTTCACCTTTCCAAGTATCATGTCCATCTCCAAGGAATAGCTCCTTCTGGCAACATGCCCAGAGTATGGGAGGGGAAGCTCTAAGGTGGGTCTGACTCAATGGAGATGCATTTTTGTAAGTGCAGCTGATAAATAGGATTCTGAGACTTGGCTGATGGACAAAATCAGGAAATTATCCTGAGTTTTCAAAACTTTTAAATGATAGTCATTATAACAAAGATTGGGGAGCTCTATTAGGTTAGTTGTAAGAAGCTGTACTTTAATCCCAAAGGCAAAGCGTTTGGATCCACTAGCTGCTTGGATGGGCAATCTTCTCCTGTGTGATTACTGCCTCTGAAAACTCCCTGAAGGGTCAGTTATGGGTCGATTCCGACTCGACATCAAACAACAACATACCAAGCACGTGGTGGGATGTACTTCTGTGGTTTGGGTTTGTACTCTTTACATTTCTAGAAATCTTCAAAGTCAATATTATTGCCAATGACAGGTGAAGACACTGAAGTTTGAGGAGGAAAAGTATTGCTTAAAATGTTTATAGCAACTCCTTTCCCTCACACATACCCCACAACTGCCATTGGGTGGACTTCAACTCATAGCCCCTCGGTCGTGTTTCCCAGGCTGGACATCTTATGGAAGGAGACGGCCTAGCATTCTCCCATTTAGAGGCCAGTTGAGCCCAACTACCACTATTTTGGTTTGCAGCACAAAATAAAATCAAGTATAATATAGTTAACAAGTTGCTTGGAGTTGAATTTATTTGATGTTAATTTCCATGCTTTTTCTTGCACCTTTGGCTGGTTCCCCAAGGATTCCTTTAGGCGTTGAACTCATGACTATTGATAGGTTTTTAGTTCTCCCTTTTCCACAATCTTTCTTTTGGTTCATTGTTGTTATTGGAGTTAGTTGTCTTTGCATCAACTCAGACTCCTGGTAACCTTATGGATAATAGAATCAAAGGTCCCCTAGTCTTGAGCCATCCTCATGATGGTTGCTATGATTAAGTCCATTGTTGTGGGTGGTGTTCCGGCAAGTCATATTTTTGAAGGCTTCTTTGGTTGTAAACACTTCTGAAAAAATGGCTTCTGAGACTATTACTTTAGAACCCTCTGGGGGTGTGGTCTCCAACTGCAGTCACATGGTTCACTGTTGATTAGCATCTTCTGCACCATCAACAGCTGAGGGGTCAACATAGGAGGGAGAGCTGGCCAGACTCCAATGAGACAGCCTGACTAAGCCCTGAAGATGAAGCCAGGAACGCTGACTTGGGATACCTGTGAGACTCGGCTTACTGAATGATTGCAGAAACCAGAGGTGTATTTGTGTTGCTGTACTAAACATGGACTTTCATTGTGTAATAACCTTTGCCTTTCGCATGCCCAACTTAGTTCCTCTGTAAATCCGATAGCTTTTGCAATAAATATCACACTTTGTGATTAATAGACGTAGGTTTAGAAGGGGTCGTGGTACTAGAGATATTGTAGCTGATGTTAGATGGATCATGGCTGAAAGCAGGGAATACCAGAAGAATGTCTATCTGTGTTTCATTGACTATGCAAAGG